TTAAAATAAAGGTTTTAATTTTACTAAATTACCCAAAAAAACTCTCTTATCACATTTAGCATGACAATCGTCACATAACACATGTCTATGGGTGTATTGGTGAATATTAGAGAGAGTTAAAATTGGTAAAATGATGTTGTTTTTGTCACATGTGGGAATGCCACAACAATTATGAGTAACAAAAGAAAGGTTACAAAATCTCATATTTTTATATCTCTCACATTCATCTTTTCCAATAAGTTCTATATCACCCGCATATTTTTTGAACATCAATTCCTTCGAATTTGGTGCATAACAATAATATCTACCTGTCGTTGATCTATATAATACCTTTTTAAAATCAGTTTTAGCACATTGTATTTTTTTCATTTTACAACTCGTACATTCTAATTTGCTGTCACAGTTGATCTTTAGAGCTTTACAATTTTCATATCTGTTATACATTTTGTTGAAAAAAACATATTTACGTTTCTTTGTTCGTAAAATTTTTTCAAATTTGATAGATTCTCTATTCGTTTGATGTCTATTTCGAAAAATAAAAGGGTGTGTTGGATTGGTGAACAAAAATTGATAAATTGTAGGATCAAACTCCTGGTGAGTATAGATAGCACGTAATTTTTTACATGATTTACCAAGGTGAAATTGATCTATTTCATTTCTTAAGGTTTTAAAGATCAAAAATAAAATCTCATTTGAGAATATTAATAACGATAACGAGGAGGAATTCATGTTTGAACAAAATATTTTTTATTCGGTACTAAAACGTACTGAATAAAATTGTTATAAAATTTATTAATTTATATACAAATAGCTAATTTTGAATAAAACATTCGGTTATTTTTTTCTGTCGTTTACGGGAGATAGAAGAAGATGGGAGGTCTAATATATGTTTTTTATTTTCTAATAGAGGCGAAGAGAAATAATTTGTTACCAAAAGTTGTTTCTTATTTTTATCAGCATCGTAGATTTCTTTGATCGTTTCTAAAGCTTGTTTGATATCACACGAAAGAAGCGATGCGCAGATATCAGCAAGACTGTTAAAATAGTACATGATATCGATTACTTTATCGACGGTATATTCTTTTGTCAAGCACATTTTCTGGGAAATATCTATTTTTTTTTTGCATATGATACAAAATGTAGTATTTGAAGCGTCCAGGAACCATTTTTTGCCGGTTTTTTCATATCGTTTAGCAAAATTAAGAACCATAGTATTTCCTTTTTTAGATTTTTTCTCAGATGTTGTATTGTCGGAAAATTGTTTTTTTGATCGATGCTCATTAATGAATTCACGAAGAGTAACTATTTTTTTCCTATGGGTTGGATCATATTTAGCCGTTAATTTGAATAGATCTAGATTTAAAACAGGGGCAGAAGTATATTTCGAAATCACGTCTCGAGCTATTTCTTTTGGCGATTTTAATTACAAATCCAATAATTGTTTTTGTTCATTAAACCCTAAACAGGACCAAATAAGATCTGTGGCAACCGTCTTATAGAATAGAGATACGTTGCGCTTTACGATTTTTAAACCTTTTATCAAGAGTTTTGGATTCGTAAAATCAGGAGCATTTTCATGAACTATTCCACCATATTGCTTTTTGTGGAGAAAAAGAGAAGGATGAAGAACTTTTTCATATGCCATTTTCATAAACGGAAACCCTGTTTCTTGTTCCATAAAAGAGTTGACCGCAGGTGTGATCTGTTTTGTGAATTCTATGGATTTTTTTATAAATTCTGAATAGTGGAGTTGTTTATTATGAGAATAGAGAGAATCGATTTCAGAGAAATAAGTTTCTGAAATCGTAAAGAAGACTAAATCGGTATCACCATATATAATATTGCATTGTTTCGATTCCAAGAAAGTGATTACTTTTTTAATAGTTTCACGTGAAAACGCTGTGACAGATGATGCAATCGTCTTTCGATAGAATGGAGAGAAAAGATAACCAGTTTTACCATAAACGGAATTGGCCAAAATTTTTAACGCGTTTGATCTTGATGTAAAATATGATAATTTTACAGGATCATTTGCATAGGTTTTCATAAATTTTTTAGCTTCGGCCCGTGCTTCCAATAGTTTTTTACATATTAGAGGCATCAAACCCATTTCATTCTCACAGTTATGGTGAGATTTAAATTGCGTTATAATCTGGTCATTATCGTAAATCATATTCACAAATTGATTCCTTGTTAAAATGGGTATTTCAGTTTCGAGAGATATATTCATTGTGATAATGGAATTTGGATACATTGATGTGAAGTCAAGATCGAGAACTGGGCGATTTTTTTCATTTTTTCGTGGAACAAGCACCAAACCTCCCTGATATTTTTTCCCAATTTCAACCACGCCCTTATGATTCATCGAAATTAAAATGTTGCGACGAGAAGTATATCGTCCATAAAGATTACGAACCAAACATCCAACCCTATTCATAAAAACATTTGAAAGTGTTGTACATGATAATGATGAGAGTTGAAAATAATCTTGTAAAATATTTCGTTTTATTATCAATTCCTGACATCGAAGCGAATCAGTTGCACAGTAATATATGATATCAGCAGCATAATGTTCAAGTTGATTTTCAGAGACCAAAAAATGATTCATACATAAATCATAGTCAACATTTTGCAAAGACACCAACTGTGATGAAAAATCCTGAATTTTTAAAAGATCATCCTTGAATTTTATCGCGTTCACATAGATAAACATCGATTTGTAATCCAATTTAGTAGGAAGATACGGTAAATCGATTTTTCCTTGCAGACCACAACGTATAAGAACATCATTAAGAGTATTTTTAAGCTCTGTTGGAAATGTTTTTTTAGCCCAGACCAGAAGATCTAAGAATACGGTACCAGATATATAATAATATTCACAGATCATTTTTTCAGTAGGATTAACTTTTATTGAACGATTATTAATATTAATTCTAGCAAATTCATACTTTCTCATGACATTATCCAGATCTCGTTCTTTATATCGAACCTCAGTCTCACAAATATTTATTATAACATCATCGGTCGTTCCAAGAAGAATATTATTAAATTGTTTCGTTATATTATGTTGTTCACTTTTGATAGTATAAATTTCCAATCATAACCTCCCGTATTATATCCAAATTCAAAATCAGGTTTAAAATTATAAAAAATTCTCGCAAAATTTAACAGAAGTGAAATTTCCGAATCACATATTATAAAATGAAAATTAGAAGAGGAACACTCAGAATATTTAGAAAAAAATAGCTGTTGATTAATCGGTAAAGTTGTGATGCAGTAGCGTTGGAATGGAGTTTGTTCAAAGATCCAATAGAAATCCATCTGAATCGCGTACACGTAAGAAGTAGGTTCATGACCGAGAGGAAAAAAACCAGAACCTCGAGTTTCTGAAGATTCAATATCCCAAGATAATGATAATAAACGTGGTAATGAAACACGAGAAGAAACTTTTTCTATGT